ACAGCCCCCCCCCCCCACATGAGACCATCTGGAGCAATAGCTCTTCCCCCCTCTGCCCCACCCATTCTGGGGAACAACTTGCCTCCGTTTGGCGCCCCCTGCTGGGAGAGACCCATCCCCTGCCTGGCGCTGCCCACACGGAACAGCCCAATTCAGCCTAGCACAGGCTGCCAGGGAGCTCACCCTTGTCGGGTAGGATGCTAAGACATGAGCGTTGCTGTGCCAGTGCTAACGCTAACACACACACACACACACCCACACACCCCCACCCCTGACTCCCGGTCACCCCACACTGATCTGACCACAAGCCTGTACTCTCCTCCTGGAACCCAGGGGCCTCTAGCCACTAGTCCACACTGCCCCACAGTAGTTGGCTCCCACAGTTCCCAAGGCAGCCTGGCCAGGGTCTGGCTTTTCAATTCAATGACACTCCCCCTCCCCCCGCCACCCAATGGGGCCCCTCGGAGTTCAAAGCTCAGGGGAACCCTCAGATGCCCAGTTCCTGCCCCAGTTGTGGGGCTGCTGGGCCAGAAGCCCTCGCCAGAGCCCTCCCTCGCCCCCCGCCCCGGGAGCTCGTTCTGAGTCCCCTTTGGGGGGATGTGGGGGAGGCACGCACAGCCCACAGCGGCTGCCAGAGTGGCCCAGAACGGCAGCTGGGCAGAGGGTCGTGGGGAGGGTGGCTGCCTTCCCCGGTAGGAGCTGGCTTCAGGGACCCCCTCCCCTTTCCACCTTCCAGGCACTGTGCAACCCTTGCCTTGCCCACGCTCCTTGGTAGGGCACAAACTGGTCCCAGTGCCCCCCCTCCTGAGGCTTCACAGGGGGCAGCAGTGCCAGCTGGCTGTACCCATTGCCAGGATCTCCCACGCACTGGGCGGGGGGGGGAGGGCAGCAGGGAGCCGGCAGGGACAGAATCTGCTGATGGGGGAGACGTGAGGAGGGTGGGTAGGTAGGTGCCACACTCACAGAGCAGCAGAGGGAAGGGTTGTGCCAGGACATGGGGAGGGAGGTGCAAGGAGGTTTTAGCAAATGGAGGGGCTGGTCCGGGCCCAACCTGCTGCATTCGGTGGAGTCGCAGCTGGGGGGACTGCAAAGAGCCCCCCCCCCGCCCCGCCCATCTCCGGTCAGCACACCTCTCTGCTGAGACTTCCTGTGAGGCTGTAGCAGGGACGCCAGTTCCCCCTCGCTGCCCTGCTGGCGGCATGGGCCGGGGGTTCCCCTTCAGGGATCACAAGGCACTTGGAATAAAGCCTGGCAGCTGCTTTTGGTCCAGTTTGTTACATGAACTTTGTCTGAGTCAGGGATGTGGGGGGGAAGGGCCGCTAGGCGCGGAGGGAGTCCTGGCCCAGCACGCCCCATGCCAGCCGGTAGAGCAGGCGTGAGTACCAGTGCATGCCAGTCTCCGGCGCACTGCAGTTCTTGGCCTCGCCACCGGAGGGCAGCAGCGAGAGGAGGCCATGCAAGAGCCGGAGGGGGGCGAAGGCGTGGTGGGCCCAGCGGGGGCTCTCCAGGATGGCGTAGCAGGAGGCCAGCACCCCGTTGACCAGCAGGGTCCCGTGGGAGGTCAGCGGGGCGTACACCCCCACGCCTTCTTCCCGTGACACCCGCAGCACCCTGACTGGCTG